CTGGCGATGACACACTGACCCCAGCATGGACAGCGTGGTGGTCATGGCTCGACCCAGACCCGTCCCCCCTGTGATGAACGCCACTCTGTCTTTAAAGCTTCCTGTCGGTAGCATGACGCCATCAGCGGGGCGAAGAACCTCTGAGGGGAACCGGACTGCTGGGGCGCCGGCGAGCTGTGGAACCATGACTGTAACAGAGAACATCTAGAGTCACAGCCACGCTCTGATTGGTGGAGCTCACTGTTACCATGACAATATGTCCCGCCCCTCTGCACCTTAGGCCAACATGTTTCACTAGCATGTTAGCTAGTTAGCTAGCTAACAGTAAATATGCTAATAAGCTCGTCATGCTGCAGTGAGTGTAGTTTATAAATATAATATGACATCATAACAAACACTGAAGATACTTTTAGAGGATTATGGATGTGTAGTTTATAATATAATATGACATCATAACAAACACTACAGATACTTTAGAGGATTATGGGATGTGAGTTTATAATAATATGACATCATAACAAAACACTGAAGATACTTTTAGAGGATTATGGGATATGTAGTTTATAAATATAATATGACATCATAACAAACACTGAAGATACTTTTAAGGATTATGGGATGTGTAGTTTATAAATATAATATGACATCATAACAAACACTGAAGATACTTTTAGAGGATTATGGGATGTGTAGTTATTAAATATATATGACATCATAACAAACACTACAGATACTTTTAGAGGATTATGGATGTATGTGTTTATAATATAATATGACATCATAACAAACACTACAGATACTTTTAGAGGATTATGGATGTGTAGTTTATAAATATAATATGACATCATAACAACACTACAGATACTTTTAGAGGATTATGGGAGTGTAGTTTATAAATATAATATGACATCATAACAAACACTACAGATACTTTTAGAGGATTATGGATGTGTAGTTTATAAATATAATATGACATCATAACAACACTACAGATACTTTTAGAGGATTATGGATGTGTAATTCTTGACTCCGGGTGAAGATGATGCACAGTCTTGTACCTTCTGTTCTTGTAATGCCGTTTGGATGAATTGTATTATATAGAAATTATAGAAAGTGTACTAATATCAGATCTGTGATGGTGGAGCTCTCTGATTGGTCGGATGTCTCTGCTCTTTCTAGACAATAACAGTTTTTTATTTCAGCTCTGATGATAACAGACAGAGCGGCATGGAGAACACTAAACATTCACATGAAACTATCATTCAAAGACATCAGAAGATATTCATCATTTAACATCTTAAAATCACTTTTTAAGATGTTTCTGTTGAAAGATGAAGGATGATATCAGTTCAAAATAATCATTCACTTTACGGACCCCTGCTGTTTCTCCTCTTTATTATTGTTGTTATTGTTATTCGAATTACTGTTGTTATTATTGTTGTTATGATGGATACAATTTGAACATTTTCAAAATAAAAGCTTCAGAACTGCAGAAAGACGAAAATAAACAATCAGCTGTTTGATCGCGTGCACGCGCTGACAGGCACGTTCACTGAGTTCACTGGGTCAAAGTTCACACTGCAGGAGAGCGTCGTCACCTGCCAGGTGATGCTACAGCCCCTGTGTGTGTGTGTGTGTGTGTGTGTGACGTCACATTTTGGTCTCTTTATTAAATCAAAGTTTTCTCACCGACTGAAAGAAACGCGTCACTGAAGAACCCTCTGCTCTCCGGAACACGGCGGCCGCCATCTTGGTCAGGACGTGATGACGTCACGCCTGGATCATACCAACGTTAAAAAGGGTAGGATGTTTATCTCTTGAAAAACAACAAATCAGCAGGCAGAGACGGACTCGTCTCATATTTATTCAAAGTCTTTTTAGAAAGTTTCCCAAAGCCAACAAAGACTCTTTATTGATTGGTAACTGGTGTCCAATAATAACATGAATAAAGTGATGACGTCATGATATCTAACCCTAACCCATGGCAGTCGGTACCCTTTGATCTCTTCTTTATGTTTAAATATTTGAGTGTTTTCATATTTTAATACCCCCCCTCATTCAGCTGCAATGGTTCAGTCCAGCATGAGACGATGATCACGTGTTACCGTAAAGTGTGTAAAACACGGAAGCAGAAAGAGGATCCTGTTACTGTGGACTCCCAATGATACCGATCAAGACCGGAAGCTCCCACTTCTACCCCAGAGTTACGGTAGGTGTCGGGCCGGTCCCACAGTCGGAACATGCTGCTGACTGACGAGCTGCAGGTCACCACACTGATGGAGGACGAGTCTCTGGACCCGGACCTGAACCTAGACTGGTCCTGGTCTTCAGCGGGAAACGAAAGTCCGGAAAAGACTTCATTACGGACCGGATCCAGGAGCGGTGAGTCAGGGACGTGTGGAAGATTATTAAAGACCATGACCCGAGTCCATGACCCAGAATGAGTCAGGCCGACCCATCAGAGAACTCCGGTCCGGACCTGTCAGGTAGAAAAGACGCAGTGAGAACAGCTGGCTGCGTCCCATTTCTCTTCATCAGATTAGAGGGGTTAGGGGGGTTAGGGGGGTTAGGGGGTTAGGGGGTTTAGGGGGGGTTAGGGGTTAGAAGGGTTAGGGGGTTAGGGGGGTTAGGGGGTTTAGGGGGGGTTAGGGGTTAGGGGTTAGGGGGTTAGGGGGTTAGGGGGGTTAGAAGGGTTAGGGGTTAGAGGGGTTAGGGGGGTTAGAGGGGTTAGGGGGGTTAGGGGTTAGAGTCCAGAATTAAAAATAGCTGCTCCTCCACCACCTCGTCCGGTGTCTCGAGGTACATGAGAATTAAAACGACTTGGAGGAGTGGAGTCATTCAAACTAACATATTCATCTCGACACATTGTCACAACAGGACAATAGGGGGTCCTGTTGGTCCAGTATATAGGGGGTCCTGTTGGTCCAGTATATAGGGGGTCCTGTTGGTCCAGTATATAGGGGGTCCTGTTGGTCCAGTATATAGGGGGTCCTGTTGGTCCAGTATATAGGGGGTCCTGTTGGTCCAGTATATAGGGGGTCCTGTTGGTCCAGTATATAGGGGGTCCTTTCAGGTCTATGACATAATTTCTTCTTCTACAGTTTGGGGCGGGGCGTTTGCTGCGTCCTGCGTCTGTCCGGACCTCTCAAACATCAATACGCTCAGGTGAGACCTTCAGACACACGCAGCTTGTTGCCATAGAAACAGATGTTTTACATGTTGCTTCTGTAGGAACACGGTCTGGACCTGGACCAGCTGCTGGGTCCTGGTCCCTATAAGGAGCGTTACCGTGGCGATATGATCTGTTGGGGAGAAAGCCGACGTCGTCAAGACCCCGGATTCTTCTGTCGCCTAGCAACCAGAGGAGCTCTGCAACCAGTGTGGGTATGTAACTTAAACCATCAGCGTTACCTAGCAACCATGTACCTGTAGAAACCTGCTCTGTGATTGGTCAGGTGGTGAGTGACGCACGGCGGCTGTCAGACCTGACCTGGTTCAAGTCCAGGTTTCCACAACAGACCCGAACTGTCCGGGTTCAAAGTTCAGAAGAAACACGCAGACAGAGGGGGTGGAGCTTCACTGCAGGTGAGACAACCTGTCTGTCTGCTCACCTGTCTGTCTGAACACTTGTCTGTCTGTCTGACTACTCACCTGTCTGTCTGTCTGCTCACCTGTCTGTCTGTCTGAACACCTGTCTGTCTGTCTGTCTGTCTGAACACCTGTCTGTCTGAACACCTGTCTGTCTGTCTGACTACTCACCTGTCTGTCTGTCTGCTCGTCTGTCTGTCTGAACACCTGTCTGTCTGTCTGACTACTCACCTGTCTGTCTGTCTGAACACCTGTCTGTCTGAACACCTGTCTGTCTGACTACTCTCCTGTCTGTCTTTCTGCTCACCTGTCTGTCTGTCTGCTCACCTATATGTCTGAATACATGTCTGTCTGTCTGCTCACCTGTCTGTCTGTCTGAACACCTGTCTGTCTGTCTGACTACTCTCCTGTCTGTCTGTCTGTCTGACTACTTACCTGTCTGTCTGTCTGCTCACCTGTCTGTCTGTCTGAACACCTGTCTGTCTGACTACTCTCCTGTCTGTCTGTCTGAACACCTGTCTGTCTGTCTGACAACTCTCCTGTCTGTCTGTCTGCTCACCTGTCTGTCTGAACACCTGCCTGTCTGCTCACCTGTCTGTCTCTCAGGTGTGGATGATGCAGAGTCAGAGTGCGGCCTTGACAGCGGCGTTGAATTTGATTGGATCATCACTAACGAGGTCAACGCCCCCTCGTTAGAAGAGCAGCTGCAGCCAATCCTGAAGCTTGTGGAGGAATCAGCTGTTCTTTAAACCGGAGTCTGCAAAGGATGATGGGAGATTCTCACCTGGACTTTGATGCTGTGAATTATTCTTTAGACGTTTGTAAACAGTTTGTTTGTTTTCCAGCAGCTGTAAACAAACAAACATCGAGTGACTCACCTGAGAAACATTAAAAACCTTTTACCTTTAAAACCTGGTTCAGGTTCTGAATGAGTTTTTTTGACCTCAGAGTCTGAACAGGTGAGCTTTTAATATAACAAGACAATAATGATGACATCACTCAGGTGAGAACAGGAGGCGTGTCCTCACTGATGATCATTTTATACTTTATTTTTTTGAAATGTTCTTTTTATGAGGAACAGCAGAGAATAATTTAATTTAGACTTTTTTTTTTTTAAATATCAGCTTCAAAATGTGAATTTACAGAAGATTTTATCATTCAGACTAAAGAAGTAAACAATAAGAAAAACAATTACTTGTTGATATCTATGTTCTGTTGCTCCCAACCTTCAGTCCCTTTTTAGAAATGGGATGAATTTGCAGAACAGGTCTTACCATGTTCCACCAAGAGGTGATGTGAAGGACAGTCACTGTGCAGGCAGCTCTCAGAGTCTGAGAGAACATCATCATACAGTCATCAAGGATGACCATATTTTCTCTTCTATCATTAAATATGAAACATTATCAATATATGAACCTGATGTTTTATCTCCTGCTGGTTTTCATTAAGTTTATATTCCCTTTCTTATTACATGTGTTGATCAGCTGTCACTTTAATGTTGTTTGAGATAATAATGAAGCAGAGAGCTGGATGAAGTTACCTTCAAGCACATTTCTCTAAACATCTTTACCTCTGGCTACCAAACAGTAAACATGATCAGACAGGATGTTTAACTTTGAATCTTTCCACAGTGTTTTCACGGGAAAATCCCTTCCCAAACTGTTTATTCTGTAGAGCTTCAAAACTCAGGAATGCCCCCTTGTGGACAAATGAGTAGTAGGTAGTCAAACTTGTTGGGACTTAGGGGTATGACATCATAAATGTGTCAACACACCTGTAAGGATGAACAGAAACTTGAAGAAAAGAAAACACACTGAGTCATGATGGATCTACAAACCAGTGATGGTGCTTTTATTTTATAAAATCTGCTCTGTCTCAAGATTTATTACAATATGCTATGACATCATCACTGTGTGGCTTTAGAATAAAAACTTTGTTAAACTTTATTTGTTCATTGTTGTTAATGGGGGGGTGTATCTGGGCTGAGATTGGCTTGTGGTCTGCCATGTGTGGCAGTGGAATGCCTTGCTATGATTGGCCACTATAAACCACACCCCCTGCAACAGGAATAATAAACGATTGGCTAGGAGACAAACCGTTCAAACACTCATTGTTAGTCGTTAATGAACGAGGGAATGGCTGTAAGTCGCTGTTAAACATCCTGCACCTCCTCACACCTCCTCCATTTAATACTGAGGAGGGGGATGGCACTATTAGTGGGTGAGGAGAGGGGGGGAGGGGTTAATCAAACACTCCAAATCCAGAGGAGCAGGAATCATTAAGAAAGAGGAAATAAAGAAGCAGTAATGTTCACCCCGAGCGGGGGGGGGGTCAACTGGAGCAAGGGGAGGAATGTTTTGGCCACAAAGACTCTGACAGCAGTCGGGGGGGGGGGTTCAGCATGAGTTTAGCTCCTCCATGTAGTTATGCAAAGTCTCCTGCAGCTGTGCGTTGGCGTTTCTGGCTGAAGTCAAAGCGTCTGCAAACAGAACATCGACAACAGTCACTCGAGGACAAATAAGCCCCGCCTTTAATCAGATAGTCCCGCCCCAATCAGCTAGTCCCACCTTTAATGAGCTAGTCCAGCCCTCAATCAGAAAGTCCCACCCCCAATCAGCTAGTCCCACCTTCAATCAGCTAGTCCCACCTTCAATCAGCTAGTCCCACCTTCAATCAGCTAGTCCCGCCTTTAATGAGCTAGTCCAGCCCTCAATCAGAAAGTCCCGCCCCCAATCAGCTAGTCCCACCCTCAATCAGATAGTCCCACCCAACAACCAACCAAGTCTTGCTGTCCAATCAGAAGGCAGGACTGTCCTGCTAATCTCACCTTGCAAGCTGTCGATGGTTTTCTCCAGGCTAACCTTGCTACGCTCCGTAGTGTCTGCTCTGGATTCCGCCTGGAACAGGAAGTTTACAGGTGACAAACAGGAAGTGATGTTAAAGTCACATAAATAAAAGTATGATCTCACCTCCTTCAGTTTGCCGCTCAGCTGTTTGATCTCCTTTTCGTATATGTCCTCCTTCAACGAATACTAAGAGATAGAGAGACAGCCAATCAGAGAACCAGGCGTACTGATCAGCCAATGAGCTACCAGGACATCTCTGTAAGGGTCTTTCTCAAACCACTACACCCTCTCCCTACACACAACCCCTCCGTCTGCAACACGGGGGGTCTGCCATATTTAGGCCGTCCCAAACCAATGGGGGGTTGGGGGGGTCGTTATGGAGGAGGCAACCTGTAAGTTCTGTGCCTCCAAACACTGCTCCATTTAATATCATCATCCAGACGTTAACAACTTTAAATATGAATCTGAGGATCAAAGAGGGTTGGTTTGAAAAAGGCCCTAAGCGTCAGTCACCTGACTGATAATAGCACCTGCTTCAGGTGTGGGTTTCTCCTCCCTGATCTACAGGTGAAAACATTAAGTCCTCCTCCTACCTTCTCTGCCTGGGCCTCCATTGACTTTGAACTAGTGAAGACATTTTTCAGCTCCTCCTCCATCGCTCGACTCTTACTGCACAGACAGAGGCACAGGTTGTCAAGACAGGTGTGCTGAGTCATGGTGTATCAGACAGACAGACAGGTGTGCTGAGTCATGGTGTATCAGACAGACAGACAGGTGTGCTGAGTCATGGTGTATCAGACAGACAGACAGGTGTGCTGAGTCATGGTGTGTCAGTCAGACAGGTGTGCTGAGTCATGGTGTATCAGACAGACAGACAGGTGTGCTGAGTCATGGTGTGTCAGTCAGACAGGTGTGCTGAGTCATGGTGTGTCAGACAGACAGGTGTGCTGAGTCATGGTGTATCAGACAGACAGACAGGTGTGCTGAGTCATGGTGTGTCAGTCAGACAGGTGTGCTGAGTCATGGTGTGTCAGTCAGACAGGTGTGCTGAGTCATGGTGTGTCAGACAGACAGGTGTGCTGAGTCATGGTGTGTCAGACAGACAGGTGTTGATTTATGGTGTGTCAGACGGGTGTGCTGAGTCATGGTGTGTCAGACAGACAGGTGTTGATTTATGGTGTGTCAGACAGGTGTGCTGAGTCATGGTGTATCAGACAGACAGGTGTACTGAGTCATGGTGTATCAGACAGACAGACAGGTGTGCTGAGTCATGGTGTATCAGACAGACAGACAGGTGTGCTGAGTCATGGTGTATCAGACAGACAGACAGGTGTGCTGAGTCATGGTGTGTCAGACAGACAGGTGTGCTGAGTCATGTGTGTCAGACAGACAGGTGTTGAGTCATGGTGTGTCAGACAGACAGGTGTTGAGTCATGGTGTGTCAGACAGACAGGTGTGCTGAGTCATGGTGTGTCAGACAGACAGGTGTGCTGAGTCATGGTGTGTCAGATGGGTGTGCTGAGTCATGGTGTGTCAGACAGACAGGTGTTGAGTCATGGTGTGTTAGACAGACAGGTGTGCTGAGTCAAGGTGTGTCAGACAGACAGGTGTGCTGAGTCATGGTGTGTCAGACAGACAGGTGTGTACTGTGTGTAGTTGTACATATTGTATTATCATGTTAAACTGATATTTAGAGACTCAGGATCTGTGGACATGAATTCAGTGAGAGAGGGCAGAGAGGTGCTGCTACCTCTCCAGCTAACATACTTTGGTCCAGGACTTGAACCCGCGACCCTCTGGTTCCCAACCCGAGTCCCTACTGAGCTAGTTTGTTTTAGTTTTTTTGAAGTTTAGTGTCGGCAGCAGGGAAAGCCATGCAGAGTGCAGCAGGAGGAGGAGCTGAAGCAGAAGGTCAGAGGTCAGGTGAGGCAGGAGGAGCTCTGATTGGTTGACAGGAGGTTGGAGGTCAGGTGACCTTCAGTACCTTGTCCTCAGATGCCTGCAGGCTCTTCAGTGATTGGTCGAAACTTCTCAACTGCTCCTCCAACCTTCGAACCTTACTGTTAGACACGTGGACAGACAGACAGGTGGACAGACAGACAGGTGGACAGACAGAGAGGTGGACAGAGAGGTGGACAGAGAGGTGGACAGACAGACAGGTGGACAGAGAGGTGGACAGACAGACAGAGAGGTGGACAGACAGACAGACAGGTGGACAGAGAGGTGGACAGACAGACAGGTGGACAGAGAGGTGGACAGACAGACAGAGAGGTGGACAGACAGGAAGCAGGACGTGCAGCAGCAGCAACATGTTTCCATGGAAACAGACAGGAAGAGAAAGATGGATGCAGAAGGATTAGCTCTGTAAGTGAAGGAGTGTGACATCACGATGAGGTCATCAGTATGACATCCAGTGTTTCCCATTAATTACCTCAACTGTGGCGGCCGCTCACATTAAAATGTTCTCTGGTACTGTAAGTATTTTAACACTATTCATCACATGAAGATCTTTTACCCCCCCTGACCCCTGACCCCTGACCCCTGACCCCCCACCTCTTCGTCACCCTCCTGTGTGTATTCACTGAATGAAGCTACAGCCCAGACAGGTATCAATGTCTGTCTCTCTCTCTACCTGTCTGTCTCTGCCCATCTGTCTCTCTACCCATCTGTCTCTCTACTACCCGTCTGTCTCTCTACCTGCCTGTTTGTCTCTCTACTACCCGTCTGTCTCTCTACCTGCCTGTTTGTCTCTCTACTACCCATCTGTCTCTCTACCTGCCTGTTTGTCTCTCTACTACCCGTCTGTCTCTCTACCCGTCTGTCTCTCTACCTGCCTGTTTGTCTCTCTACTGCCCATCTGTCTGGCTAAGCAGCTCATGCTGTAAGAAGCAGACATGCACAGGTGTGTGTGTGTGTGTGTGTGTGTGTGTGTGTGTGTGTACCTCTCTGCGTGCTCAGCTCTCTCTTCAGCTCGTTCCAGATCTCCCTCCAACATCGTCAGTTTACGAGCCACCTGGGACAAACACAACCATCAGATTAAAATGAAGAGCTCAGCCATCAGCCACACATCGATGATGTCATCAAACATCGACGATGTCATCAAACATCCACGATGTCATCAAACATCCACGATGTCATCAAACATCCACGATGTAGTGAACACACCATTTTGTAGTGCTGTGAGTGTGGTCATACCCTGAAGTCCACTCAATGTATCCCACAATGCATTGTGAAAAGTAGTGTACAACCAATGGTCACTATCCAAGTAATATATCCCATCATGCATTGCGGTTCAAAGATTTTTATGAGCAGAGACACGTTTGACTTGACCACCACTAGTGTAGTGTACTGTGTGTAGTGTACTGTGTGTAGTGTACTGTGTGTAGTGTACTGTGTCTAGTGTAGTGTACTGTGTGTAGTGTACTGTGTGTAGTGTACTGTGTGTAGTGTACTGTGTGTAGTGTAGTGTACTGTGTGTAGTGTACTGTGTGTAGTGTACTGTGTCTAGTGTAGTGTACTGTGTCTAGTGTAGTGTACTGTGTGTAGTGTACTGTGTGTAGTGTACTGTGTGTAGTGTACTGTGTGTAGTGTACTGTGTGTAGTGTAGTGTACTGTGTGTAGTGTACTGTGTGTAGTGTACTGTGTCTAGTGTAGTGTACTGTGTCTAGTGTAGTGTACTGTGTGTAGTGTACTGTGTGTAGTGTACTGTGTGTAGTGTACTGTGTGTAGTGTACTGTGTCTAGTGTAGTGTACTGTGTGTAGTGTACTGTGTGTAGTGTACTGTGTCTAGTGTAGTGTACTGTGTGTAGTGTACTGTGTGTAGTGTACTGTGTGTAGTGTACTGTGTCTAGTGTAGTGTACTGTGTGTAGTGTACTGTGTGTAGTGTACTGTGTCTAGTGTAGTGTACTGTGTCTAGTGTAGTGTACTGTGTCTAGTGTAGTGTACTGTGTGTAGTGTACTGTGTGTAGTGTACTGTGTGTAGTGTACTGTGTGTAGTGTAGTGTAGTGTACTGTGTGTAGTGTACTGTACTGTGTGTAGTGTACTGTGTGTAGTGTACTGTGTGTAGTGTACTGTGTGTAGTGTACTGTGTGTAGTGTACTGTGTGTAGTGTACTGTGTGTATTACCTCCTCATACTTGCGGTCCGCCTCCTCTGCGATCAGTTTGGCTTCTCTCAGGTGAACCTCAAGTTGCTCCATCTTCTCCTCATCCTTCAGAGCCCTGTTCTCTATCACCTTCATCCCCCTGACACACACACACACACACACACACACACACACACACACACACACACACACACACACACACACACACACACACACACACACACACACACACACACACACACACACACACACACACACACACACACACACACACACACACACACACACACACACACACACACACACACACACACACACACACACACACACACACACACACACACACACACACACACACACACGAAATGAGACAGGAACATACTAGCAGAGATCGTTGTGTGTCTCAGGTGAGTCTTACCTTTCGCTCTCGTCTGCAGACTTCTCCACCTCGTCCAGTTTCTGCAGGGCGGTGGTCAGGCGGTCCTGGGCTCGGTCCAGGTTCTCCTCGCTGAGCTGCAGACGACGACCCAGAGCCGTCACCTCCGCCTCCGCCTGCAACATACAGAGAATCAAAGTACAGGTGTGTGCACCTCCTCTCTACACGTACAGGTGTGTGTACCTCCTCTCTACACGTACAGGTGTGTGCACCTCCTCTCTACACGTACAGGTGTGTGCACCTCCTCTCTACACGTACAGGTGTGTGCACCTCCTCTCTACACGTACAGGTGTGTGCACCTCCTCTCTACACGTACAGGTGTGTGCACCTCCTCTCTACACGTACAGGTGTGTGCACCTCCTCTCTACACGTACAGGTGTGTGTACCTCCTCTCTCTACAGGTGTGTGTACCTCCTCTCTCTACAGGTGTGTGTACCTCCTCTCTACACGTACAGGTGTGTGTACCTCCTCTCTCTACAGGTGTGTGTACCTCCTCTCTCTACAGGTGTGTGTACCTCCTCTCTCTACAGGTGTGTGCACCTCCTCTCTACACGTACAGGTGTGTGCACCTCCTCTCTACACGTACAGGTGTGTGCACCTCCTCTCTACACGTACAGGTGTGTGCACCTCCTCTCTACACGTACAGGTGTGTGCACCTCCTCTCTACACGTACAGGTGTGTGCACCTCCTCTCTACACGTACAGGTGTGTGTACCTCCTCTCTCTACAGGTGTGTGTACCTCCTCTCTACACGTACAGGTGTGTGCACCTCCTCTCTACACGTACAGGTGTGTGCACCTCCTCTCTACACGTACAGGTGTGTGCACCTCCTCTCTACACGTACAGGTGTGTGCACCTCCTCTCTACACGTACAGGTGTGTGTACCTCCTCTCTCTACAGGTGTGTGTACCTCCTCTCTCTACAGGTGTGTGCACCTCCTCTCTACACGTACAGGTGTGTGTACCTCCTCTCTACACGTACAGGTGTGTGTACCTCCTCTCTCTACAGGTGTGTGTACCTCCTCTCTCTACACAGGTGTGTGTACCTCCTCTCTCTACAGGTGTGTGTACCTCCTCTCTCTACAGGTGTGTGTACCTCCTCTCTCTACAGGTGTGTGTACCTCCTCTCTACACAGGTGTGTGTACCTCCTCTCTCTACAGTGTGTGTACCTCCTCTCTACACAGGTGTGTGTACCTCCTCTCTCTACAGGTGTGTGTACCTCCTCTCTCTACAGGTGTGTGTACCTCCTCTCTCTACACAGGTGTGTGTACCTCCTCTCTCTACAGGTGTGTGTACCTCCTCTCTCTACACAGGTGTGTGTACCTCCTCTCTCTACAGGTGTGTGTACCTCCTCTCTCTACAGGTGTGTGTACCTCCTCTCTCTACAGGTGTGTGTACCTCCTCTCTCTACAGGTGTGTGTACCTCCTCTCTACACGTACAGGTGTGTGTACCTCCTCTCTCTACAGGTGTGTGTACCTCCTCTCTCTACAGGTGTGTGTACCTCCTCTCTCTACAGGTGTGTGTACCTCCTCTCTCTACAGGTGTGTGTACCTCCTCTCTCTACAGGTGTGTGTACCTCCTCTCTACACAGGTGTGTGTACCTCCTCTCTCTACAGGTGTGTGTACCTCCTCTCTCTACAGGTGTGTGTACCTCCTCTCTCTACAGGTGTGTGTACCTCCTCTCTGCTCCTCTTCTCCTTGTCCACCTCCGACTGCAGTTTCTCCGCCCTCTCCTCCGCCTCCTCCGCCTGCTCCTGCAGGACTTTGATCTTCTTCTTCACAGCATCGATGCTGTTCAGTCCTCCACTCATCTTCTTCTGCTGAAGGACAAACAGTCAGCTGGTGAGCGTACAGGTGTACGCTGCATACTAACCCGACCTTTGGTCATTAGCAACATATTTAACTTCGGGTCATGTGACACATTCGTGGTGCGAGCTGGTGTAACTGAACGATGTGTTCAGGTGACTTTTGTTACGTTGTTAAATTGTTCTCATGGCCAGAGGGCTCATCAGCGCCCCCCTCTGAGCCGGAGGGTCACTAACACGAGGCGGTGCCACTTCCTTACTGAATGAATCAGAACTCTGCAGGAGCCAATCAGCTGAGAGCAGACAGGAAGTGACACCGATGTGTTGGCCGATGTGAGGTTCTGTTGACTTGTTGATTATTAAACATGAATGATCGATTAATTTATATAAAAACATCAAACTCTGAGCTGAGTTTGATGTTTTTATTTATTAGTGAAAGTTTAATTTCAATAACTCTGATAAAGTAGCATCATGAAGAACATTATAAACATTATAAACAGAGTTAGCATGTTAGCTCCTGATGCTAACAGCGGCACCGCCCCGTTAGCATGCTCACTGAGCTCACAGCTGACAGACACCAGGTGAGCTGTACCTGAGGATTATTCTCACCTGTCTGAGTACAGAGATGAAAGCAAACCTGCGGCTCGAGCCCGACTTCACCTGCACCGTCACTTCCCTTTGAGCAGGTAGGCTGACTAGCCGTTAGCAGCTAACTGAGCTAACTTCCGGGTTTTAACCTGAATAAAGTGTTTTATCAGTAACGTTGGATTAAAGTCGCGGGCAGACGGCGGCTCGGTGACTCTCTGATGTTCCTCTCTGCTCCGGTCTGTCCCGGTCCTGCTACTCGGATCTATTCAGACAACTCCCTAATAGGACGACACCCACTTCCGGGTTAAGTTCCCTCCACCGGAAGTGACGAAGTACCAGGACTCTACCAGATTAAAAGTAGGTCAGCGCAGAGTTTAAACGGCTTCATCTGAAGTCATTGACTTTTATAAAAGATTACATCAAGTCAAACACTTAGAGGATGAAAAAAAGGACAAAATACTCACTGCGACTGTTTTATTATTATTTAAATTTTTACTTCATAAAATAATAATGTATAATAAAGTTATAATCAGAGCGATGACGTACAGAAATAAAAACCTACAGCACGCTGTCCAGCTGATTAGAATAATCAAGAGCACACGACACAACGACAACAAACATTTACAGATTCATGATCAATATTTTTACACAAATTAACTTCAGTCAAATGTTTTAAAGGTTCGGAGTAAAAAGTACTTTAGAAGTTCTTCAGATTTTACTTTGACTCTGGTTTCAGTCTGAACTTTGGACATCTGTCAAACATGAAAACATCACAGAGCGAGCATCTGTCCTAACAGAGGATCTTTGTGTCGACAGGTTTTTAGTGCAGGTGATGGTAAAAGAGTTCATTTCATCCAGCATCAGATAAGAGTCAGTGATCGTTGGTTTCCATGGAAACGTTGGTTCCTTCAGTTTAAAGAGCTGAGCTGATCCTCACGTTTTATTCTGAAATTCGTTTATTTAACTTTTATTTTTACTTCATAGTCTGCAACAGCTGCTGCTGTCCATCATCACATTACAGTTCTGCTCTGCAGATTAAAGTGTTTAGGTTAAAATATCATCAGAGTTAACGTTTCTATAAAAACATCCTCAAACCAGCTGATTGGTTAAAACCAACCAGGAAGTCACAATACGTTCAGATTCTATACAGATACATGCTAACATGCTAACAGACAGCAGGGATGCTTTCTGTCCATTCACCCCCTCCCCCCCTCGCCTGCCACAGTTTATGATGATAAACTGATGTCATAATCATATATAAACTGTTTTAAATGAAATGTAGTGTGATGACTATCAATGTAGCTTAATCACTCAGACCCCCCCCCTTAAACTTTCCAGCTGATGTTATGATGTAAACAGGTCATATTTAGAAATCCCTTCAGGAACAAATGATGACAGCACGTCAGATATCAGGATATGACATAATATCCAGCTCAAACTTTCACAATAAAAGTCTGACAGTCTAATCAGTCTTCTGTCCCTGTTTGTCTGTGACATCTCCATGACATCACGGTGACATCACGGTGACATCACTGGCAGAGGTGTCATGTTAGGTGGGATCAGCTCCACACTCGCTCTCCTCTGGGATGTCCTGCAGGTCTGAATGGGCAGATCACAGGTTACCATGGAGATGACAAAAATAACAGAAAAATCAAAATGACTTTAAGGATAAAAACTATAAGCGAGTTGTTCTGACCTCTGGGGCTGTCAGAGCGAGGAGAGATCCTCATCATCTCCAATCCCTCCTCCTCATGTTCTTCCTGTACACCGTCTAATTGGTCGACAGGATCCTGGACGGCCAATGGGGCTAGGGGGCAGGGCTCCTGTTCCCTGCTGCCACGCCTCCTGCTCACCTGCTGACACAGACTCTTTAGTTAGAGTTGATCGTGGGTAAGTTCATCCTGTTTAAGGTGAACTCCTAACTCACCTGTTCTTTCTTGATGCCATCACTGATCTCTCCATTGCTTTTGTTCCTGCTGCCTGACTCCACCCCCTCTCCACCAGGCTCCTCCCTCCTCAGACGCAGTCGTGTCACTTCCTCCTGCAGCAGCCCCACCTGTCGCCGCAGCAGCTCCGCCTCTCCGCTGGAGTCCATACCTGCGTCCCGGGACATGGATCGACTGAGTCGTGGCGGGGCAGGGCCAGAGGTAGAGAAAGAGGCACCTGTTGTGACTGACAGCTCCAGGATCGAGTCCTGACGAATCACAGCAGCCTAGGGGCGGAGTTTATAAGTATCTAGGTGAGATGTTGTACTTCAGTTCACAGGTAATATGCTAATAATATGATAAGGTACCTGCAGAGCGTGCAGGTGTGTGCTCAGACTGATCAATCGCTGACAGATCCCCTACGGAGAGGACAGGTGATAATGAGTAACCTAAGCTCTGATTGGACAGACATGACATCATATGACAGTTTGAGGGAGCAGGCAGGTGAGACATCTGGAACACAGGTTAGATGGTTACCTGGCCGAGCGTTCCCTCCTGCAGCTGGTTTCCGTTTCTGTCCTAAAAGAAAACCAAACCCACCAAATCCATCAGTTTACAACCTGTAACACCTGTTTCCATGGAAACCCCAAAGTCTAGACACCGTGAGTAAAGCATGAACACATCATTGATTATTATCAATTAGAAAAGGATCGTCCCGCTTGTTGACATTTTATTTTTCATGTTTGACAACAAAGCTGACAGTTTGACCTGCTGTGTTTTTAAATAAAGTTACAGGTGAAGACTTACCTGTGAGGAGCTCTTTGAGCCGACAGAACCGTTCAGAGAACCAGAGTCACCATCTGAGAGGAAGAAAGACACATGAAGATCGACAGGTGAATGTTTAAACACCTGATCATCTGTCAAACTCTACAGGGCAGCATTATTCTACACAGCACAGATACCTGTCTGCTGATCACACCTGTCTACTTATTACACCTGTCTACTGATCACACTTTTCTACTTATTACACCTGTCTACTTATCACACCTGTCTACTTATCACACCTGTCTACTTATCACACCTGTCTACTTATTACACCTGTCAGGTAAGGGTGACTCACTGCTCAGCTCCTGGTTGCCGTTGGTTACAGTGGATTTCTGGATGTTGGAGTCGAGCAGCAGCTCCGTCAGTCTGTCCACTGAAATCATCAAGAAACACAGAGATTTGGTTCAGTGCCATCCTGAGGTTGATTTCACAAGACAGGGAAAACAAACACTGACCTTCAGCGATGGAGGCACTGAGGAGCGGCTCAGCCTGAGGAGCATGAGGAGTGTCGGCTCTGAACAGGTTCCTGCAGGAGGAGGAGGAGGTCCTTGAGGAGGAGGTGCTGAGGTCCAAACCATCTTCTTCATCTGTTGTGCCTCTTCCTGTTGCCTCCACCAGGTCCGAAAACAGAGTGACCCGCTCCTGCAGGAGCTCCAGCACCTCCCTGTCCTTCTGCTGGATGTCAGCTGGAGGAGCAGGAGGGGGTAGAGAGGGGGGTAGAAACGTTGAATTAGGCTGACATGGAAAAGTGGAGGAAAACTTCAGACAACAAAACATGGGTATAAATGATCCAGGTCTAGGAATTATAAACATTTCAAATAAACCAATGCCTATCAGCTTGCACCTTTTTTTCACCCACTAGGCCACACACGTTGGCCTATTTGAAATGTTTCTAGCTTATCACTTAAAAGCCTTTTATATTTAACCTGGATCATTTATACACATGGTTTCTGGTCTGAGTGTAAGTATTCCCTTCATGAGCACAGGTGGTTTGAGGGGTACCAGGAGCGCTCCTGCTGTCCCTCCTTCTCATGGACCAGATTCTTTTTAAAATAACCTTTGACGACAGAAACAGGAGCAGTAAAAGGAGGTGCAGACAGGGAAAGGGAGGAGGAGGAGTTAAAGTAAGAGGAAGAGAACAAAGGGATGAGGTGTAAGAAGAGGTGCAGGTAAAGGAGGGTGGTTACCTCTGAGTCTGCGCAGTAAAGCTTTGTCTTCAGTCTCGATGAGCGGGAAGTCCTGTCTGGACGGACAACTGCAGACGACAACAACAACACTGAGTACAACACACTGTACTACACACTGTACTACACACTGCACTACACACTGCACTACACACTGAGTAATACACACTGCACTACACACTGAGTAATACATACTGTACTACACAGTGTACGACACACTGCACTACACACTGTACTACACACTGTATTAAACACTGTACTACACACTGTATTAAACACTGTACTTCTCACTGTACTACACACTGCACTACACACTGAGTAATACACACTGCACTACACACTGAGTAATACATACTGTACTACACAGTGTACGACACACTGCACTACACACTGTACTACACACTGCACTACACACTGAGTAATACACACTGCACTACACAGTGTACGACACACTGCACTACACACTGTATTAAACACTGTATTGAACACTGTACTACACACTGTACTACACACTGTATTGAACACTGTACTACACAGTGTACTACACACTGTACTTCTCACTGTACTACACACTGCACTACACACTGAGTAATACATACTGTACTACACAGTGTACGACACACTGCACTACACACTGTATTAAACACTGTACTACACACTGTACTACACAGTGTACTACACACTGTATTGAACACTGTACTACACAGTGTACTACACACTGTACTACACACTGCACTACACACTGTACTACACATACTACACTACACACTGCACTACACACTGTACTACACACTATATTAATCACTGTACTACACACTGTACTATGCACTGTACTACACACTGTACTACACACTGCACTACACACTGAGTACAACACACTGTACTACACACTGTAATACATACTGTACTACACATACTACACCCTGCACTACACACTGCACTACACACTGTATTACACACAGTACTACACACTGCACTACACACTGAGTAATACAAACTGTACTACACACTGCACTACACACTGTATTACACACTGCACTACACACTGCACTACACACTGTATTACACACTGTACTACACACTGCACTACACACTGTATTACACACTGCACTACACACTGCACTACACACTGTATTACACACTGCACTACACACTGTACTACACACTGTACTACACAGTGTACTACACACTGCACTACACACTGAGTAATACACACTGTACTACAAATACTACACACTGCACTAAACACTACTACACACTGTGCTAAACATACTACACACTGTACTACACATACTACACACTGTAATACACACTGCACTACACATTGTATTACACACAGTACTACACACTGCACTACACAC